CAGCCCAGCATTGGTCATGGATGACACAGAAGTTAGTCACTGTTATACCATTCTCCCTGCTTCTGCATACTTTCGAAGCTTCCGTTATAAAAGGGTGAATATCTATATTGGGCTATTTTGAAGCAAACCCTATCAAGGACACCAGGGGCCAGGCAAGCATATGGCAGCCAGAGACAAAGCAAGGACCAGGAAGGATGAGGGGACAGTAGAGAGTAGATGACAGACTTCACTTTTGGCTGAGGCCCTTGCTTGAGACAAACAGCACCCAATACTCCTGCAGTGCCATACACAGCTGAGGGCTCTGCTAAATTCTTGGGGCAAGAGCTGTGGCAAACCTGCTGGGGCGATCCTCAGGTAACAAAGAGCACTGCTGCTTTTCCAAAGTCCATGTGTGGTCTCCAAGAGCAGGGTGCAGCGGGGGAGGCTCCATGTCAAGGCCGAGAGGGGCCAGTGGCTTGCCTCAGACCCTAAGCACAAGATGGTGGCACCCGACCCCAGCACTTCCCTTCAATTTCTGTCCCTGTTGCCTGCCCTACAAAGGGCTTCAGAAGACCCTAAGCTCCCTGATAGAATTACCCCTGTATCTGAAGTGGCAGAAGCCAATTTTCCTGTGTCTGACCAGCAGACCCCTCTGGACTGTCCTTTCACATAATTTTTTTTCATTAAGTTTATTAGTGCAGTTTAGGTATACAATACAATTACATTCATCACTGAGATTTTGTACCTTTACATGATGTACCTTGGTTCTTATTTTTTTCCCCATTCCCCTGCTTTCTCTTCATGCCCTCTACCCTACCTATTTACAAAGACTTTGTTTCCATATTTTTCCTTTTCTCATATTTTTTTCTCTTCCCTTCCTACCTTTCCCCTACCCCTCCCACTTCCCCTACACCTTTAGAACTTTTCTTCCTATTACACAATAACAGTTATACATTTTTATCCTAATTTATACTTTTGTATTTTCACACCAGAAAAACTATTTGGTATTATCTCCACTGCTGTACGTGCTCTGTCTACATCCCAGGTCTCTCTCCATCAGCAGGGCCGAAACAGAGGTTTAAACCAAAATCATACCAGCTGCTATGTAGGGCACAGGGACACCAGGCAGAAGAACCATCTCTGTGCACCTGCAGCTGGCCCTGCCTGGCTCTGCAGCTGGAGTTGGGTATGGCTGTGAAGCTGGGGCTCTGTCTCAGGCCCAAGGGTCACACTTCACGGTGACGGCCATGTATGTCTCAGTGGAAAGGCCATTCACAGGCCAGTACTAACAGCTTAGTTTGCCAGTGTGCACACATGTGTGTGTGCTTGTGAGTGCATGTTGCAGGTGCACATGTATAAGCATGTGTGTACATGCATGTGAGTGTGCAGGCACGTGTAACAAAGATACATCTCTTGACCCAAGCCATGGCAGGAAGCATCAGATGAAACAAAGGGAATCTTGTTCCTATAGGGTGTGGCCCCATCCTGTTGGGACCAGAAAGACAGTGGTCCCTGGAGAAGATGGCAGCCGCAAAAGAAACCAAAGGGACTCCAGGGACCTGAGCTGACAGCCTCAGTGGGTTTCATCTGTGGGAAAAGGAGGCTAAGCACAAGACAGGCATTTTCATGAGTACTCATGGAAGCCTTCTTGGGTGACGAGAAGGCCTCATCTGAACGCCTGTGCTCTGGAGAAGTCACTGTCTGAGGCACGGGCCCTGCTGGGAGGGGATTTAAAGTCTGAATCCCTGGAGCATCCTGGCCCCCAGAGTGGAGGACTTTCAAAGTGAGCCTGTGATTTATTTGCAGAGAATAATGTGGGGCTTCGGGTTCAAGCTCCAGGCAGAACATTCGCCTGGAGCCAGTTGCTATCCCTGAGGAGCAGGTCATAGGAAGGCAATGAGGTGATTCTAGAGTGACCTTTCAGCTGGGCCATCAGGTGGGTGGGTGAGCCGGGCAGAGCCAGGAGGGTGGGGCGTGCCCACAAACCCTGGAGGTTTTTCCTGCACTCTGAGGATCTGTGCCCAGCCCTGTGTGTCCTTGCTTTCAGTTCTTCTCACCTGGGCACTATAAAAGGAAAAGTCAGACATCCAGTCAATGCAGCGCCCTGGACTCTGACCACCTAGGAGTGGCTCTGCCCAAGCAGGGGCATGGGCAGGTTTCCACTTGCTCCCCAGATCCCAGGGGAAGGCTCTGGGGTCTGGACTTCCCTGCCCTGTGGTCAGAGCTGGCATTTGCATAAAAGCACTTCTGCAGCTCTGTAGTGATGCAAATATTATTTTTGATCTCAGGAGACAGGATGACAGCCACTCATAGACACCAGGGGAGAAACTACTGTCTGGCACGCAATGGGCATTTTCCACCTGTCTTTATTGCCAAAGTCAGACTTTTAGTTCAATAATAGGTTCAGATTAAATTCTGTGATAAATGAGGATCTATTTCCTTGTTATTTACAACAAGTCTTCTTAGATCAGTCACTGAATGTCCAGTCCAGGAAGCCAGTCCCGCTCCTCTGGAAATTTACCTTAGCACACGAGGCTGCCCAAATCCAAAAACTATGGTTCTGCTGCTGGGCTCCCCAGGCCCCAGGGCTCGGCCTGACCCAGCTCATGAGGTCTGCGGCAATGTTCAGTCTGATGCCACCAGAGTGAGGCAGATTCCAGATTTACCTTCTCTCACAATCCCAGTTTTCACTCTGCCCAGACATTTCTCCAGTCATCTTCCTACTCTGCATAGGACACATTTTTGCCACTGACCATGTCACCGAACAGGCAGGGGTGGAGTGGCACAGCCTCACCTTTCCTTACAATGTTGCCCGCTGTGCTGGTACCAAGCTGCTAACCCACAGCCGCAGCCCACATTACCCTTGCAGTGACATGGTGACAGGCCCCTGCCATCATAAAACATGACTTCTCATAACCAAGGCTGGGGACGGGGCCTGGGGAAGCCACGAAAGCTCTGGGCTCTACCTGCATGGCCAATGCCATGCCTACAGGTCCCTGGGAATGCTGAAGCCCAGGTGCTGGCACCTGTGCCAGCCATGCCGGCGCCAACTCCCAAGCCTCCTGCAGCAGCACCCAGAAGCAGGGAGCCCACAAAGCAAGTTTTTCCCCCAGGCCAGCAAATGAGCCAGCTGTTTGGGTCTGGCCCGAACCCTTGACCCAGCAGACTGCTCACCCAGGGTAGTGGCGGAAGCCCCTTCTCCTCACCTCTGTAGTAGTTTGCTCACTCACACATTTAATTTTTAAAAATGGAAACTGATCCTTTCGACCCATCCTCAGCCCCTCAGCCACTGGTTTTGCTAAATGAATGACCATCCAGTGATTGCCAATCCTCAGTGAGCCAGAGTGGGGTACAGAAAGAAATGGCTTCAGAGAGGGGCACTCCAGTTGTCTGCAGAGGCGCAGGACTGGTTGCAATGAGTCCGTTCCTCCTCTAACTGCTGCCCACCGGTTCTGCCCAGAGCCAAGGGCAAGAGGCTAGCAAAGGTGCCACTTGGGGACCTCCACAGTGCAGACCCCAGAGGGACAGGGAAAGGGCAGCGTCCTACCGAACAAGCCGTGGGGCTCCGACTGGCGCCTCTGTGTGCTCCGGTTTTGGTCTTTGGGTTTCTTGCTGCCCCGGAGGCTTCCGAAGCGCTTCATGAGTAGTTGTGGCCCAAGAAGCAGTGCCAGGCGAACATGTCAGAACCCACAGAATAGAGTCAGCCCCAGGTGGCAGGCAGGTCACTGGGAGGGGCCTGGCAGCAGTCGGCAGTGCAGGCTGCCTGGCAGCCTGTGGGCGCAGGCACCCTTGCTGAGGACCCAGTGTTGGCAGGTGACCTCACTGTGGTCTCACTCCAGTGTCCCTGAGGCTCCTGGCCCAGAAGTCCTGGAGGGGCTGCTGCACGTCGGCCACAGCAGGTGGAGTGTCACTCTCGCTGTCCCTTAAGTAGGCAAGACGTTGCCGGGAACACACCCAGAACTTCACAGGGGATTTGTTTGTGTAGCTAAGGTCAGCTGCTCGAGGATACACTCCTGGGTGATTTTTCCTCTTTAAACTTCAAGAAAAAGCGGAGTCTAAGGAGGCGGAGGAAGCACAAGCTCGCCAATCATGTACAGGTTGCCAGGCACCTCTTTAAAGGCTGTAAAAGGGAACTGCGCCTGCAGACAAGTCCTGGCCTGGGTGGCCGGGCACATTCCCATTATGACATGACATCACACAACTATTTTGATGTGTGTGCTCTGGGGCTCTGAGGAGCAGAAGACTCTGGCTGCTGCTGGAGAAGCCGCCAGTGCTGGGGCTGGAAATCGCTGAGTCCACACTGGCTCAAGCTCCACTCTGCTGGATGAGGCAGCAACAAGATCATCCTGGGCAGGGTGGGGTTGCCTCAGAATTTAGCGGAAGGTCTTCAGCAAGTGGGTAACCTGAGCTCTGGACTTGCTGGGAATTATGCAAGTGCTCAGAGAGATTTTAAAGGGGGGGTCTGGTTTAACTGCTCTTGTGATAGATGGGGAAACTGAGGCCCAGGATGGTGCTGCTGTGACTTGGCCAAGGTCCTGACCCAACGGCAGAACCAGACCTGGGATTCTAATTTACTTGGTACCTTTGCCAAGCCTCTGATTTGATGAAACCCAATAGAAAACTTTGAGTATGCAACTAAACACACACACACACACACACACACACACACACACACACACTAAAAGCACAAAATAGGGAAAAAATTCTCAATTGTTTTGCTGATTTTATCCCTATAAAAAGGAAGTTACCTTCTCTGCTACCAACCAGATTTGTGACCTTAAGAAAGACACCTCTGAATCAGGATAAGATTTTGTGTAGGTCAAACAGCCTGGGCTTTTTTGTTTTTCGAGACAGGGCCTCTCTGTGCGCTCCAGGTTGGCCTTGAACTCACTATGTAATCTAGATCAGTCTCGAACTCACAGCCTGTCTCAGCCTCCCCAGCTGAATTTCCTCTTCTTCTCCTTGTCCTTCTTCTCCTGCTCCTCCTCCTCCTCCCTCTTCTTTTTTTTTTTTTGTCTTTTTTAGATCAGAATTGCCTCAGTCAGGCAGGCCCAGCCTCCCCTGTCTGACCAATTAATCACTTGCCAGTACTGTGCCTGCAGGACCATCTCTAGGACATCAGGAGAGTAGAAGCCCACAAGTCGCTCCCCTCAGAGATCACTGCATAGTATCCTGAGAAGGGGGATCTGCAGGAGGGGAGCTTTTCATTTTGGGGCAGCCTGGTAGGGCTGGAGACAACCCAATCAAATAAGATCGAGGTGCAGATGAGGGAGGGGCCAAGGAGAACTTACTTGCCTTGAACGCCCACTCATGTGTCCATTCATACTCTGGGCCACACTACCTTGCCTGGCTGCACCAACAACCGGGCAAGGTGCCACATGCTTTGTCTGTCAGTGCTGAGGTCACAGGTGTGTGCCCCCGCACTCAGCTGATAACAGCACCTTCCTTCAGTTCTCCAAGTGTTCTAAGGTCAGTGTCCTCCTCTTTCCCTCTGGGATCAATCAGAGGTCCGAGGATCAAATCTTTGTAGGAAGAAAACAGGAAGGACATCCACAGTGGGTGTCACCCTGAAGGGAGAGGCCAAGGTAACCCCCAGAGCAGAGCCAACTGCAGGAAAAGGTGGTGACTGTATGATTGGGCACAGTGGCTGGGTGGGCAGGGTGTCATCCACACAGAGGAGAGGGTGAGATCTGCCTGGCCTTGGAGATGGGCACCGGTCACTGTCATAGCCTGCCAAGAACCTGGCCTCAGACACGCACCACCGAAGTCACAGCCACCCAGCCTCCGATGGACAGCAGATTATCTCTGTGGTTAGAACAGCAGCCCTCATTTACTGTGATAAACTCCAGGAAGTACCTAGGAGGCAGGTTTTGGAGTTTCACATTTAGATTTATTTTTTAAAAAATCAATCCCATTTCTAATAAAAATTAAACTTCTCAAAAAGAGCAAAACAAAAGATATATTAGACTGTCAATTGTGGCAGTACACACCTGTAATCCCAGCACTCAGGAGGATTGGCATGAGTTAGAGGCCAGCCTGGCCCACTTAGCAAGATCCTATCACAAACACAAACAAACAAACACCTATTGGAAAGGATCGCAGTATAAGTATTCCAGCCAAGGAAAGGCATATTTTGAGTAAAAGATTAAATCAAAAGATGTTGTCTAGGCCAATGTCACATTCTTACACGATTACATACTAAAATCTGTGGAAAGAAAGATTATTTCAAAGTCTAGTGACTTGGAGGGAATGAATTTAAACTCATGTGGAAAACGAACAGTCACGGAGGCCTGATGGTCCTGGGTTTTGTTTAGATAGTCACTCACTCAACAACAAATTACTGAACCTCTAGCATGTCTACCGGACAGCTGTTGATTGAGTGGATTAGGTGCTATGCAGAATTCAAAGACATTCTTGTCCTCTAAGAACTATATTTTAATTAGCAAAATAATAACTCCCATTTATCTCATGCCTTCCGCATGGCGCATAGGGTGCAGGTCACTTTCCAATTGTTATTTTATTTTGTCCCTCATCCCCAAAGCTGCAGGGCAGGTATTACAACACTGCTTGACTGAAAGATGAATGACTGAGTTAGAAAAGTAGGCATGGTGGCAGGTATCAGTAATCTCAGCCCTGGGGAGGCTGAGGCAGGAGGATTGCTGCAAATTCGAGGCCAGCCTGGGCTACACAGTGAGTTCAAGACCAACCTGACCTACACAGTGAGACCTTGTCTCAAGAAAACCAAAACCAAAATCTAAACAAAGCTATAGGATGTGGGAGGCCCCTGTGGACTGCAGGAACTCGGAAAAGACAGTTTGTCTCTGTTAATTTTTTATTCTCACTCTTGGAAACTTAAAGGCAAAAGAGAGGAGAACCAGGTTTTCAAATCTTGATTTGAATCAAAGTTTACCTCGAAACTCAGACCACTGTGTGGGTGTCTACGCCTCAAGGCTCTCAGGTCGGACAGGACATTGGGAACGCCAAGCAGACCTCTGGGGGACACATCTAGGTGGCTGGGCATGGAGGGGCACTGCCATTTCCTCTGCCCTGTGGCTGCTGCCAGCTGTGGGTGCCTCATGCTGCAGGTTTGCTCCATGGTGATTAAGTAAGGATACAGCACCAACTTAGCTGCAGTGAAGACAAGAATGACCTGAGTGTTCAGGGGCACTGTTGAATTACTGAGAAAAAAGTGGAGGATGTGGCTTTGGAGCAGCAAAGTTGTTCTTGGGGACAGACGCTGGTGCATGGGGAGAAGTGACAGGTTCCCAGGGCAGCTAAATGATGGGGACCTGGTCTTCTGCACATCTGGCTGAGAAGACTCCCCATTCGCAGAGGATGGGGCACTACATCCCCATCACCGCCCTGAATGCGGTGACAAAACTGCACATGGTGGCGATTCCGCTAGGACTCAGTGGCCAGCAGGAACAGGAATGGAATGGACCGGATGCTTTCCACACTCAGATTTTTTTTTAAATGGAAGGGCCGAAAAAAGAAGGGACTAAAGGCTCACAAGACGGAATTGTATTTTAGAAGGACAAGGCCCTTCTGGATGATATTTTTAAAATATCACACTCCTGGTTGCGTGCGAAACCAGAACTAGGACAACGAATGCCCTTATCTTAAACCTTTCCCACATGCAGTCAGATCACCATTTTGATGCCAGTTTCACAAGATTTGGAGAGGGGTGGAATTGTAGGTAATTCAAACTACACTATTTATTATTTTATGTTTTACTTCCAGGACTGGGGATTGAACCAAGGGAATTCGCACTGAGTAACATCCCAGCCCTTTTTACTTTTAAGTTGCTATGTTGTCCAGGCCGGGCTTGAATTTTTGATTCTCCTGCCTCAGCCTCTCAGAATGCTGGGGTTACAGGTGTGTGCCACCATGCCCACCATGGCTGGTGTTTTTCTTCTGGATTTTCAACTATAAACCTCACATGGTCTTTGCTTGCTAACTTGTTTTGTGTGTTCTATGGACACCCCCGACACACACCTGCTCAACTGAAAGCTCTGTGCCCTTGGGTGCTCTTGGAGTAGCATTCTCTGGCCCTGGGGGCACCTATGGGACCAATGGATTCCCCCAAACCCCTACCTACCTTTGTACAGCCAAATACAAAACCAAATTTCAGAAAAGACCCTAGACCCTCCCAGTCACCAGAGCCCACAGCGGGTCCCAAGCTAGGTATAACTGTGTCATTGTCACCAGGGACCCACAGGAAAGGAAAGCACCTGAGACTCAGGCAGGCCATAGTCACTTTGGGGACTGGTGGTACCTTAAGTGCGGGGCTAATAAGGCTGTCAGCTCCAGTGACAGAACCAGCTGGCTGCTAGTGACCCATGGGGACCATAGTAACCCTGGTCCCAGACACCTCCTGTGAGCACAGTGTCTATCAGGAGCAGAAAGGAACAGAGGCTTCGAGGAACGACTGCAAATGCCAGGACAAGGTTCACAGGCCAGAGCAGAACTCCACGCACCCCAGGGCTTTCAGGACTGGGCTGCTGCTGCCAGAAAATCAGATGAAGACACCAGTGGAAACTCTTTGTGAGACCTTTGTGAAAACCTCAAGGCAGGGCCTGGACAACACCCAGACCCCAGGCTACTGTCCATCAGTCATGTGATGTCACAGCAGTCCCGAGTGGAGCAGAGGAATGACACACCCTGGCACACCCTCACCAGGGCCCTCCTGCTGGCTGCCAAACACCGAGTCATATTTCATGGAAAGTTCTGAAGGTCACATCGTGCTTCACTCTGAGCTTACCATGGTGGTGTCACTTCTGGGGCCTCCGGAGTCCTTCCTGTTGGGGCTGCATGTGAGTCTTGCCTCTGAGAGTGCCCCTCCCCTTCCTGTCACCAACAAAACAATGCACAGGAACTGAGTTTGGTGACTGAGTGATGGAAGAGTGATTTTCTTGGCAGAGACAAAACCCTCAGCATACACAGTCTGGCTAGTCCCGGAAATTCTAAGCCCACTGAAAATTGGCTGAGACTAAAGGGGCAGCTTAATTTTAAAAGCTCAGAGGACCCCAACTGCATCTGCAGTGCTTTCCTTTGGAAACCATGAACTTGAGATCCTCCTGACTCAGTCTCCCAAGGAGCTGAGATTATAGGCTTGTGTCTTCACACCTGGCCTGATCTATTTCTTATTAATAGTGAAATATAAACAAGACGGTAGGTAGGCTTAAAACACTTTGGTCAAATGTAACACCTTAGAGCAATATAGGTCCACTTAGCATGCAATGTTGATCCACTTAGATGATTCCTTCATATTCCTCCTATCATAAAATCTTTTTCTGTTTGTTTGTTTTTTGAGATAGAGTCTCCCTTTATAGTTCAGGCTGGCCCTGAACTCACTATGTAGCCCAGGCTGGCCTTGAACTCGTGGCTATCCTCCTGCCTATGCCTCCCAAGTGCTGGGATTGCAGGCATGCACTACCATGCCTGGCCTATAACAAAATTTTTGGGAGGAGTATTGGGGATCGAACTCGGGACCCTGCACTTGCAAGGGAGGCACACTGAGCTAATTCCCTGGCTCTATAACAAAATCTTAATACAGGCTGGACCTGTTCCATAAGGGGATAATGTGATATTAAATAGCAAAAATTGGGGCCTGGGGTTTAGTTCAGTGGTTCTGCCACCTATTTTGCAAGTGCAAGGTCCTGAGTTCAATCCCCAGTACCAAAAAAAAAAAAAGCAAAAATGTCCCAGATGATGTGGAACATTCATCAACAATGCACACATGACATTGTCTAGGCACCTGTCACCTATGCACTAAGCTTCCTGGGGCCATCTGCTTTGCACATTTCTGTCCCTGACCCAAGTTATCCCCTGAGTAATGAACTGTAACTACTGGCATCTACCTAGCTCAGCCATCTTCCTCATTTCAACAAGTTCAAGTGCCTGAGTGGGCCAAGTACTAAGGAGCAACGCATAAAGGTTTTTTAGTTGTCAAAACTTTGCTGTCATTGAAACTAAAGATTTGTGTGCATCAAAAGACATCATAAAGAGAGTGAAAAGACAACTCACAGAAGGGAAGAGAATATTTGCAAATCATACATCTGTTAAATGTCCAGTATTGGTGAGTGTTCCCATTGCTGGGACAAAATACCTGCTATCCACAATTTAAATGAGGAGCAGCATGACGTGGCTCATGGTTTCAGGGGATTGAGTCCATGCTCAGCTGCTTCAAAGCAGAGACATCATGGGGGAGGGATGTGGTGGAGCGATGCTGCTCAGTGGACAGTGACCAGGAAGCACAGCAGGGGAGTTTCAGAGAGGGAGCGGGCAGGGTCCAGATAGTTCCCAGGGTCTTGCCTCCATGATGCCCTAAGGCACACTCAGTAGTGTGCTTT